CTTTGTTGAACCTGAAGAAACATATCAATTTTTTATTAAATGAAGTTAGCAAATTCAATTGCCTGCCTAACTCGTATTTTTTGCAAGGACTCGGATTGATGGATATTCTGTCATATCACTTGCGGCAAACCTACCATTTCCCATTGGTTAACATGGGAATGTCGATTTTCAAAAATTCATCAAATTTATCATCAATTTTCGACTTATTCTAATAATCCAGATGCGAGAAGAAATAATCTTGATTTACATCATTAAAAATTCAAAATTCAGTCAAAGTAATATCATATTTGAAATCTACATGTAAAATTACATCTAGAAATGTGGTTTTAAAAAGTTTTTATCAACTTTGAAAAATTAATTTTCTTTGAAAATGTGACTTCTAGATCGGGGAGATTCCCAATAGACCCCATGCTATAAAATCACAAAAAATGAAATATCTTTTCTTTTAGTGGACAGATAATATTTTGCTTTACTGGACATATTTTCATTAGTATAAGTATCAGACGCATTTAAGGGTTATATGAAAATTGAGCCACTTAAATTGATAATATTCAAGTTTAAGGGAACTTTCTTATATACCTACCATGTTAATTGACCCGAATCAGCCACCTGGTGGTGAAACTGGTAACTACCTTCTCGCATTTGGGTAATTGAGGAAAAAATTTAGAAAAATTGGAGGTAATGGAAATAGTCAAATTACGTTTCCATCAATAAGATAAGTATTTTCATCGTAGGTTAAATAAATAGAAATTCAAAGGTAAAGAGGCTTTAACACGTAGTTCAATGGGGGAGCTAAGGTTGCCAAACTTATGGAGGGGAGTGTGATTTGCCAATGAAAGCGTCAACACAATTGATCACAGTTAGCAGAATATATAATTGATGTCATATATCGGGTGTCCCAAAAAACGAGACACTGTGAAAATTCGTACAAAGTAACCCAAGAGTATTGTTAATAAGGTACAAAAATATGAAAAAGATCAGGTAAATGTTGTTTGAGCACTTAAGAGATGAATATTTAAGAGATTGGCATCATGTCATGTGTTTATTTTTTAATTAAAGACAGTATGTCAAAATCACCAATATCAATGTAAAAGTCACTTATTAATCTATTTTCAAGCAGAACTACTTTTCTGTATTTATTGTCACAATATCACCTCCAATGAACTTTGAGAATGAATGGATTTTGGATATTTGCGTGATATTTGGGTAGGATGAAACGAATTAAGTAGAAATGACACATAGACAAGCTATTTTGACTGATTAACAGCTAGATGCTATCACATGATAGCTAGTTACCAACACGATAGAGGTTTCCTACCAAAGCTCCGGTATGGGCATTTTTGACATGCTATTTTGAATTTCTTAGTACTCACAGAATATTCAGTTTATCTTTTTAATATTTTTACAACTTGCTAATGATACACTAAGGCTACTTTGTAGAAATTTGCAGTGAATTTTGTTTATCGATTGCCGAGAAAATACTTGGCAAAAAATGTCTCATATTTTGGGACCCCCGATATAATTTACATCCGATACAATGGTGTTATTGTGATCTGTATTTTAACGTCTAGACTTAGACTGGAGTCCTGGCATCGGAGAAGTCTAGACAAATAATTTAAAATCAAACCATCTTATTCTTATTATTCATATGGATCGTTAATTTGATACGTTGGGGACTAGTATTGATGATTTGTTCTGATAATCACGATATTTACTTCCTGAGCCATTCGTGGTCCTTTCAAAGTTTACTAACATACAGTAATTGTAACATGATTGTTCAATACGATTTTTTCCTGGGGACAAAACGATTTTTTCATGTAATACGCCTCAATACGATTTTTCCCCAGGGATTTTTTCATGTAATACGATTCAATACGATTTTTATTCCTTCATATTGTTACGCGGTATATGGCATACATTCATGGTTGCGCGGTATTTGTGATACGGGTGAATATGCCATACTCACCTGCGGTATATGGCATATTCCGCAGGCGAGTATGCGATATTCCGCAGTGAATATGCGATATATTGATTTCAGTGAATACCCGATACTCACCTGCGGAATATGTCATACTCACTTGCGGAATATGCCATATACCGCAAGTGAATATGACATATACCGCAGGTGAAAACGTGATACAGAAAGCCTCGATTTGATTGGTTGCAAGAATCGACTCTAAATGTAAAACTACGCTGGATTACCAATATAGTTAGTGCGTCGAGTACTAATATATGAATCCTGGTTTGATTGAGAAAGTTTATTACGCGAGATTGGTGACTGATACTTCTGCTAAGTTAATATATTCGATACACAGTACTGTTGATTCAGTAATCATTATGATAATTTATAACGTTTTACTTGTTCGTTCAATCGATGTAATTGACAATTGCGTACTTCCGTATCGCGTTCTCATTGGTTAGTGTGTATGCCATATACCGCAGGTGAATCTGTCATACACCGCAAGTGAATATGCCATATTCGTTGCGGAATATGACATATTTTTGTATCGTGTTTACCGCGTAACACATATTTCCCTGGGAATAGAGTAGTATTATGGAATAAATACGAGTATTAGAGATTATCTATTAAGCTATCAGATGCTAAAATATGGAAATTGATTAAATGCTCTATTTGACCTTGTGCAAGTGCTACATTACAAGAAATGACCTAGAGGAGGAATGTCGAAGTCTACATGTAGGTATTGACCAGGGATACTAAACTTACATCCCCGAAGCATCAACATATGAAATTTGAACAAACACCGTCATCTGGTTTTTGAGTTAACAAAGATTCGTTTTTTACTAAAATGGCACCCATTTTTAATCCAGTAGGAATCTTGAAAAGTCCATGACCAAAGTTCGTCTTTAATAGCGGCCAGATTGAATTGATGAAATCAGGACCCATTTCGACTTTTTAAATATAATCCCTGTGCCCCCCCCCCCAGGCACCAACGTATGAAAAGATTAATTGGTATCGATATGGTGAAATTCAACAATGTTTTTCTCTTAAACCAATTGTTGAAAACATTCCGTAAAACACGATCCTTTATGTAATTTTGACTGATTGACAACAATTTAGTATTTATACGTATTTTATATAACTGTTTTAGTTTACATTTTTGCTTTTTAATGCAATTGTTTTTGTTCCTTTTTACCAAACACGTTGTGTTTATGTCATTTTGTTCCAATGAAGTTCGGATAGATCTTTCATTTCATTCCGAACATATGATACCAAGAACAAAAGAAGTGTCTGGTGTGTTTTCTAAAACAGTATAAATATTTATTTCAAATTATATTGTTACCATTCAAAAGATGACCATTAAATTGACGATGTGTAAAACTTTCAGAATCTTTTTTATGACTGGTTTAAGAGAAACGTGTGTTCAAAAAGTTCACCATATCGATACCCATCCTAGTTGAACTAAACATTACACTCATTTTTGAATGATTAAAGTTTACATTTTTACGGAAATGGCGACCATTTTAGATGAGCGGCCACATTGAAACCAACTACCTCCAAAAGACTTCAACCTGTAAAAAAATTTGAGTTATTGCACGAACAAACGAACACACGGACACATTCTCTACATGTATATTACCCTCGAACCTCGTTCGGTGGGATAAGAAATTTTCAATAGCCGTCCAAAATTGTTGTGTGTTGAAACGGTTTGATCAGACGAAATTAAAATAAATAATCTAAAAATTAGCTCAAAGGGGAGGGGGGTTAAACTGTGAACATTAAAATTTAAGATTACAGCAGGTAAGAAAAAGCTCCGCAATCTATATTTTTTAAATATTTTCCCATCTTTGCCCTTTGAAACTTTTCCTGACATATTTGTGCGAAAACAAACCATAGATGAATTGATGCATTTTGTTAGTTTGTCTTTTGTTTTTATCGACAAGATTCTGTATAAATACGTAATATACAATATGTCAAAAAGCACGTAAATACATATTTAAATTTTATACAAAGTATCTAAAAATATGATCGCTTTTGTACAGTACAAAATGCACAAAATACAATAAACAGATGTGCGCATGAGCATACTGGCTGGGACCAACTACGACATATTCGCTCGCTCGGTCATTACTGCGTTCAGGGAGCCGGGTACAACTAAAAGACACATGATGTTTTTAAAAATGATATTTTTAAAAGGATGGGAGTCTCATATGTAATATAACAGTAGTTTTTCAGACTTGTACATTGGGAACAAACACACGTACTTTATATACGGCTACAAGGTACTTTGTTTACAAACCAAGGTACTTTATATACGGCTCCAAGGTACTTTGTTTACAAACCAATGTACTTTATATACGGCTACAAAGTACTTTGTTTACAAACTAAGGTACTTTATATACGGCTACTACATGTAGGTACTTTGTTACAAACCAATGTACTTTATATACGGCTACAAAGTACTTTGTTTACAAACTAAGGTACTTTATCTTGTAGACACATTAATGTGTTCAACTGGCAGTATCAGAGTGTCTTACTGAATTCCAGGAAATATGGCTTCTAGCTAGCTGGGCATACATATATGTATATGTTATGAAAACAAAGTGCCATGTGTCTGAAAACAAAACACTTGCAGAAAGGATTTGCCTTGTTTCAATTTGACAAGTTTGAGGAAAACATTTAGACTTTGATAGTCCTTGGTAGTTGAGCCTGCATTGATATTAATATATGTGGAATAAGGCAATGTATATATTCTGAATGCATATTCTGCTTGTAAATAAATAATGGGAATATCACATATTTTTGATATGTATCATTTGTGATCTACAACGATAATATCACATTGATTCTAATATATACACATACCGTATGTTTCATTGTAAATCATATATACTGTACATGCTCATTTTTGTTATATGCTATAAATATGCTGAACCATAGACTGAGAAGATCTGATACAAGTACAAATAATGATCCTTGGCATTCATATTTGCTAGAAATTAAAAATAAACATTGAAATGCAGAAGTTTGATATTGAATTTTTCTGTAAAGAGGATTATGTGTACAATAAATATAAAAAATATTCTAAAATGCCTACAATGTACAAGCAGTATATTTTTGAGAAAAATGTGACCCTTGATTCTTTTCATATGAAATCAAGTGTAAGCGCTATGTCATGTTACTTCCGTCATGTTACTTTATTTACATTACGGCCCAGAAGGCATCAGTTGTGGTCCCTGTGTCTCCTTTAAGTCCAATCATTTTCTTTCATAATACAATAACAATGATACGATTGTCTGAATTTCAAGAATCACCAAAAGTAATCACAATGTGTTAGATATACCAACTCTCCCAGCTTTAGCAGGCACACAAAAATGATGTTCAACATCATGATTATTTACAATGGTATCGTCCTTTGAATTGTGACATCATGAATAAAGGCATCAATGCATATCCCAGCGTACCAATGTAGTATAGATGTCAGGTCTGTCTGCGCTCATGATCGTTGTAAATGTTGTACCCCTGAAATCAGAACAAAAACAATGTCAGTGATTTAATTCTGTCACTTATACCAGTTCACATATCAATGTCTGTCTAATACTGTAAGGCACTTGATACTTTACAGCATGACTTGGAGGATAAATGTTTCCAAAACAAAATTTAAAATGTTAGCTGGAACCTGGATCTATATCAGACCAAGAGAACTGTTATGTTAACTAAATGATGGCTTGTATATTCAAATATCGTTATTAAGTCAATGTAAAAACACAATTTGACCCCATTTTGCAGTATTAACACATTGGTGATAAATTAATTTGATGCTACTACTGATCGTAATAAAAAGGATCATGGAGCGATAACTACATAACGGCAACTCCATGGAGTAGCATTTCCCAAGGAACAAAATATTCTTGAATCTATACAATGTCACAATATATGATATTAACCATCTCCTGTACCCATGATTTGAAGATAATAATGGACAAAAATTGGAGATATATCAGAAATTTCAACAATTTAGGCTATTTTGGGCGACCATTTAGGAGTATCAAAGGTACAACTGAATCATAAATACAATACAATACGTATGTATCATCTAATGTAGTATAATGCAACCATACTTTGAAGATATCTCAAAATTATAGTGGATTTTCTGAGGCTCGAATAAGAAATGCGATGCCATTAATACAATCTACACTAAAATTTCTTCATCTCAAGTGTATACTTTGAAGATCTGGAAATTATTGGTTAATCCGCAGTTTTTAATTTTTCTACAGGTCGAATCAGAATCAGAAATGATATACTTGCAATGAACTCTAAATTACCTTTCATTTGAGTACGAGGGGTGATCAATAAGTAATGGACGCTTTTTTACACAGATGCTTTTTATAGCCCAATCCCTTCGATTTTCTTACCAGAGATACATCATTCAATTATCTATCAACTCTGAAGATTTGAAGACAATATATGTATTACATGTTGATATATCCTTATTTCCGTGAAGGAGATACGGGTACCCCGGGACCGACATTTACGTCACATATTCTGAAGCTATTTTAGATTGTTTAACATGCAATGCAGTTGAATGCAGGCTGAACAAAACAAACCATTATGGTCATGAATTACCCCATTTTGTTATGCCATAGTTGATTTTGAATATTTTATCATCACTATGTGGTATTCATGTCACATTCATTCCACATGGCCCTCTAAATAGGTCCCATCAAGTGCTACATGTACACAATTCCTCATCCTCTTAACTCAAGATTGTGAGACAAGGCTGAATCCATTCTCTGACGTGGTAGCAAGATGCAGTTGCACAGGTTGTTTTATTCCATCAATGTCAATAAACCTGCGTCCTTTCTCTATAGAAATAAGTAGTATATAAATAAACAAGTCACATGTGAACAGATCTGGACAATATGGTGCATTGGCCAAGGGCTCAATTTTGAGGTCCAGGGATATTGTTTTCTGAACATTTTGAGATCTGTGGGTAGGTGCATTGTCCATATGGAGTAGGGTGTTCCCTTCTCTCACCACCACTTTCTTCCACAATGCTTTCTCAAATTGACCTGCAAACCCCTTCCATACAACACTCTGACATTTCAATACTTTCTGTTTATGTGTTATCAGTCAGCAAAAAAATTTCAACAACACAACACTTGTTGCATATAAAACGTTCAAATCTAACTGAAATTTACCAAACTGGCTAAAAACTGAATATGCGACATAAATGTCGGTCCCGGGGTACCTGTACCTCCTTCACGGAAATAAAGATATATCAATATGTATTATATATTTTGTCTTCAAATCTTCAGAATTGATAGATAATTGAATGATGTATCACTCAAAGGAATTGGTCTATAAAAAGTATCTGTGTAAAAAAGCGTCCATTACTTATTGATCACCCCTCGTACAATAAAGCTACATGTATAGCTCAAAAAGATCTCAAAATAAATCAGAATTCCTATTTTCCCAAACCCTCCATACACAGCCCCTGGAGGTCAGGCTGTTGGGATAATAATGCATACGATTAATTGATTGTTCTACATTGAAAATACAGGGCGTCCCATAAGTAGTTATAACTATGCTCTAACATTTTATTTGAGAACCAGAAAAAAATTCCATGTAAGACCAAACCAAGAAGTAGATCTTTGACCTTTTATATGATTAATTAGACAAAGAACTCCTATGATTCCAGTTCAGACTCCAGTACATTTGACCTTTATTATCCCTTTGATAAATGGCCAATGGATAATGTTTGGGGTTCTGAGCTAAAGGTGATCTTGAAACACGACCATACATGAACCTTTTTCTAATGACCACAACGAAATATATGTTGTACCTGTTTAATCTGAAGAATGCCAAATAGAAACTGATGGAAATACAGGTTAACATTTCATTCCATTGTAAGCAAATATAATTTTATTTCAATGTGCTTACGTGAGATCCTGGTGCCAATGCTTTGCTTGTCAAGAAACAAATTTTTTTCCATTTATCAGGCAAACCAAAGGACTACTTGAAATATTAAGTTACAATTAACCCCAAAGACAAAGTGACAATATACATTATAGTTAATAGGAAACTTATTCAATCCATACCACTTTGGAACTCAAAGATGCAAATAAGGCCACATTGAGGAGAATAAATACCCCCTTCGGCAATTGTTCTTTCAAAACAGGAGAAGCTGTGTTTGATGAGATATGTTTGATGTTTGTATTTAAGTAGGTGTTAGCATCACAAGTGTTGAATTCATCAAAGAAATGTGATAATGAGCAATCTTAGAGATGAGTACATTTAGACAGTAAGTCTGAAATTAGGTCAACAAAATAGATGATGAAAAGCTGATTCACACTGGTGATCCACTCGATTACGCTGGAACTGTTTCGGTAACAAAATGTCGCAACGTCGAAGGCATGATTTTTCTTTTTTCCTTATTTCCTTATTGTAGGCAGATTTCCCACGACATTTTTATCACAAACGTGTATCAGTATCATATGATTAAGACAATGTACACATTTGCGAACAAATAGTTCAGAAGACAATGGACTCCTCGATTTAATCCCTCAAAAAGTTACCAAACGGTATTTCGAAAAACAGTTAAGATCTGCACTTTTAACCCTTACCGTTTTTGTAACTCAAGTGAGGAATTAAATCGACGATTCAGTTGTATTCTGAGCTATTTTTTCGCAAACATATACCTTTTATAAAACATATGATACTGATACACGCTTGTGAGAAAAAATGTTGTGGGGATTCTGCCTACAACGAGCGAAATAAGCAAAAAAGAAAAATCGTACCTTCGACGTTCCGACATTTTGTTACCGAAACTGTTTCGTTTCGGTAACCAGCGTAATCGAGCGGATCACCAGTGATTCAACTAGTCAACATTCATGCAGAGATTACATAGTTTAGTACATGCAACAGGTCTTAATAATAATTTGGCAACAAAACTCTATGTTATTAGTAATCCCTCAGCTCAGTGCATAACAGTGCAAGGAGGTGAACAGAAGTCAATTTATAGATAGTGGCAGATAGATCTGATGTCAATTAACAATCTTCAGTGCCATTCCGTTAGTTCCTAATAAGATGAAATCTTCATTCTCAGATTCTTTCAACGTCACTGCATTGTACATTAGAACGACATGAAGACGTTATATTATAGAATCAATTGTCATTGATTCCGCGCTGTTGATGACATCTCAAATAGCATGCTTGATTTTACATCCATCTTACATATTAGTTCAAAATCATTTGGTATCCTGTCAAGGCAATTTGGAAGGGATGGGGCAGAAATTGGGTGTTTTGGTGATATGATCAGGTTTCTGCATGTACTGAGCCAGAAAAATGTTTTGTATGCCATGTCCCCAGATAAATATCATAAGATTGAGGAATCAACAAAACTGTTAGAAGATATGGCCTATGGATAATTCTTTGTATTTTGCATGTTTGTGTGTATGTTTTAAAGATTGTGTTTGCATTAAAATCCTGTGACTAGTTAGTATCAAGTGATGGTAATCGTCATTACCTTCCCTTCAAAAAGGCAAATTCGCTACTTTTAGTTTTTGTTGAATATAACCAGTTTGCTTTGGATATTTTAAATTTCTGACAACACAAAGCGTGTATAACATAGAAACTCTACTACTAAATATCATGAAACCATCCATTTACCATTGTATGAATATGAAATTCGAATAATGTAAGAAGTAATTGTTATTTCTATCTCTCAGCAGCTGTCAAGGTAATGGAAGTTGCTCAAAGTGTTGTCATGGATTTTCCTTAAGATAAAAATTGGTGTTAATTAAACTTGTCACTCAATCTAAGGATGTGTTATGTTAGTGACTGTAAGATATCACAAGTCAAAAACACCATAAATTGTAAAATTGCAAAAACAAGGTTCAAAACAATCAAATTAGGGCAATACATTTTATTAGGAATGCCAAATAGGGTCTTATTGTTTTAGTTATAATGACAAAAAGCTCCTATATGATTAAAAAAGCCATTAGATAATTAACAACTACTGCTATACTGTTAACTTACATGTATTATCAAAAAGAAAAATAGGTAGCTAGACACTGAACAATAGAATAACAATGTCCCAAACTGTGATGTACTTTCTTTTCATTGCTAACATGACCTGAAGTAAATTAGAAAGATTGCAACACTATTTGATCAATTGTTCCATTGATTGGACTCTACAGCTAACATCTAACATCTAAAACTACATTGCTATCTGAGTGAACATTACTGCGATTTCATTTCAACAGCTAATTGCCTCATTAAAAGGCAATACAGGAAGGTCAGATTTATTCAAATGTGATCTTGTTCTCAATTATTCCAAGACTCATGGGAAATTAAATCTGATAGAAGCAAAACTTAGAGCCTCAAGACGTATTTAACCTTATTATCCCATTCATCATAATAGTCAGTTAGATTAAAGATAACTGATTTCCAAAAGGAATAATTGAACAAAGAATTCAGTGTAAATAAATTGTTCCAGTGCATGGATTACAATGTAGATT